TATATATATATATATATATATATATATATGGGCATCCTCAAATAATAGAGTTGGGGACAGCCATTGAAAAGACTTCAGAGACAACAAATTAGAGGTAAAGGGAGAAGTACCACTCTATATATGACGTACGACTTTCTTTGAAACAGACAAGAGCATTATTATTAAACAGAATGCTCGTTTACTAGAAAAATCCAACTACAGGCTATTTAAGCAGCTGCCCATAGTACAAGATCCTGAAAATCATGTAATGCTCTTAGTCCAATATGCACTGAATGTCCATAGCCTGGGCAATGTCACACCAAAGAAACCTATTTTCTCCTGTATTTGAATATTTGTTTTCTTGTTTCACAAACTCTTTTAAGCAGAATGGGGAGAAATGGCTTTTCTTAGCCAGCTCAGGATCGGATGCCTCATGTTAAAAAAAAGATAGAAAAGTGACCCTTTAGTTTTACTTGTCTGATCATTCCAACAAGGCATACAGGTACCTCGTTTAGCAACCACAATTGGGACTGCCAACTTGACTGTTAAGCAACATGGTTGCTAAGTGAAACCTTTGATTATAAGATTATTTCAGCTTTCCTTTGCTTTACAGATTTGCAAAGGTCATAAATGTGATAATTGGTTGTAAAGTTTCATAACTGTTGGTAACTGTAGTAGCTAAATGAGGATAACATGTATAAATCGCCCTCCCAATATAATACATGCAAAGTTAAAAAGAACTTTGTGTGTATTGCTAACACACACACAAAAAAATATGGAATAATCAATCTCTCCAGTTTATTGTGAAATTTTGTAAAAAAAATCTCCATGGCTAAGAGGACACTTTAAATAAAAAATATTGAAGAACTGGCCAGCAAAGTAATTCTAAATAGATCTTCAAAATAAAATACACTTGCCCCTCAAATATGGCTAAAATTCATGAGGTAAATTTCAGTACTGAGATTTTTGTAAAATAGGATCACTGAAATTTTGTGCAATGAAGGAATTAAGCTTGATTTCACTCCCATTTCTTAAAAAATGCCAACGTAAATTTCTGGCATGCCTGAAACATATATGATTGAGTACTAATCAACCCCTCCTGAAAAAGCTGCTAATATACATGAATTGAAGGTCACACTGCAGAGCCATTTGGATAGCCAGCACAACTGAAATGTCCAAGGCAGCATTGAGTCTCATTTTAAGAGTGGCTTTCATAATTATATATAGAACAGGATTCAACAGTCCATTTGGGCTGCTAGTCAAGGGCTTGGGTTCTTAACCTACCTGAATAGGCTACAAACATTTTGACTTCTCCTTGCTCCCCAGAGTTGTTGTGAAGGCAAATGAGATGGAAATACATGAGCCAAATCTTGGCAATAAAGCAAAATATATACTTAAAATGACTACCCTTTTTTTCAAAAACCAGTTTTTGGGGAACAGCAGTGTCTGCTTGCCCGCTTTTCGTACCTGTAGCGATGGATTCAGCGACACTCTCTTCAGCACCTTTTTCTTATGATCGTTCAAAATCCCATCAATTTTCCTCATGGGCGGGAGATANCATCTCACCTCCTCAGATTCCCATCTTACCTTGAGTGGTTTGAGGGATTCCAAGTCTGCACCTGGCTCAACCCCCTCCTCCCTGGCTTTCTTGGCCTTCCCTCTTCCCCGGCCACGGGGCTTCTTGGTGCCATCATGAGCCACACCATGGGGCGGTTCAGTCAGGGGCCGGATGCGTGGCCTCCCACGAGGGCGGGGTGGGCCCTCCCGCTTAGGCTTGGTGGGCTTGCGGCCTCGCCGCTTGGGCCCCTCCATGAGACTGCTGTTTGGTGGGCAAAAGTCTATGTCACCCATGGGGTTAAGGCTGGTCCGGTTTGTCCGGCAGCTGGAAATGAGGTCAGGCAGCAGATCAGGCAGGCGGCGGCTGTTGAGGCGGATGTCAGCTGGGACATCCTCCTTGTCCTCATCGTCTTCAAATTCATACTCCTGGGCATAGTTTTTTTTGGGAGGTTGGAAAGATGGTTCTCGTTTTTTCAGCAAGTGGAAGGAGGAAGTCTTTAGCAATTTCTTGGGCTTGGAAGAGCAGAAGATTGGTGAGGTCAGGCCTGACTTGGATTCTGAAACAGGAGCTGTCCCATGTTGGCCAGACTGAATCAGTCCCAGTTGTTCTGTGTTGACTGTAGAAGGCAACTCGTGTTTGACTGACACTGTATCTAACCCCAAGTGCTGCCCATCCCCACTTTCTGATTGGCAGTAACTCTGGTAGCCTTGTCCACCAGGCATTATATCATAACCTCCTTTCATTTCTTCACCCCTCTCCATACCCTGTGTGCCATCGTCTTGCTTAGGGAACTCATCCCCAGCACAGGGAGGGGGGCCAAACATGTCCTCCATGCCAGGGAAGAAGCTACGGTCTTCATCTTGTAACAAAGAGTCTGGGAAACAGATGGAAGTGAGGGGGACAAACCGTTGCTTGGCTCCTTGAGGACTGGGGCTTTCAAACTGGTCCTTGCCTTCAAGTTGGCCTTGAGGAACTTGCTGAGTGGAATCGGGGTCCAAAGAGGAATCTGGAAGAAGATGCTGTTGACTCTGCACTGTCCCACTTTGTCCCAAGTGGGATTCCAAACTCAGCTCGGGCTCTAAGAAGTTCTGGATCTCTTGAGACTGGGAAAGGTTGCCTTGGGATATCACCTCCATGCCGTCAGACTGCATCCTTTCTGGCTGCAGCTGGCCTTGAAGCTGAGGGGACTGCTGTGGCTCAAGAAGCTGTGCTTCCATGCTCTGAGAACGAACATGGGCCTGGTGGAGGTGGACTTCCAATGCTTGCATTTGAAGCTGTGGTGAGGGTGCTTCAGCCTGATGCATGCGCTGAGGCTCCAGAAGATGGACATCCAGCGAGGTGTGAACCTTTCCACGAGACTGCATGTGGGTTTGGGTGTGAGTGAGCACTGACTGGAGCAGTTGGGACTGCTGCTGCTGCTGCTGCTGCTGTTGCTGGGAAAGGGAAAGAGGTGGCAAATCAGGAGGGGAGTCCAACATCAGGGTAGCACCCTGCTGGCCAGCCATCAATCCATGGGACTCCATGGGATGTGGCTGGGAGGCATGCTCAGGAGTCTTCTGCAAATAAGAATGGGCCTGAGATATTTCCTTACTGCTTGAATCCATGTGGCCACTCTGGAGGTGCTGCTCCACTGACTTCTTTATGTCTTGCCCATAAGAGTCTATAGAGCCAGCTTGATGGCTGAAATGGACCACAGAGGTGGCCAAAGACTCTGGAGTGGAACGCGTGTGGGAGTATTCTTTAGACCTCTCTCCTTTCTTTTTGTCCTTTAAGCTTTGCAAGGACATCTCCAGCCCTTGGTTGTCCAGATTAGAGTTGGTCCGAATCACACTCTGCAAATGGTAACGCTCTTCAGTCTTGCTCAATTCATAGCCCATCCCTTTCCCTGCCCTCTCCTCACACTCCACCATGCCCTCTGTGGGCACCCTTGGTGGGCTCTGTGACTGCAGCAAGTGCTGGATTAAAAACTCTTCATCTTCGGTTCTCTCAGATGACAGCAGGTCCGAGTCTGCCTTGGCTTTATTGTAAGAGGATGCTCTCTCTAACCCACCTTGGGAACCCTGGTAACTTTGTGCGTGAGCTGTCTGCATGAATGAAGGAGACAGTACAGAAGTGAGATACTTCTGGGTCTGGCCAGGCGATGCCACACTCTGGGGCCGGTTAGTGGTGGGTGACTGGAGAGGACGGATGATTTGGGAAGGGCTTGAGTCTGGAAGGTTCTGCCCATGGGAGTAACCAATAGACTGGCTGTGCCCTGGTATAGCTGGAGAATGGCCAGTGCTGTAACTCAACGATGGGCTAGCTGTGGGCATCCCTTGAGAATGAGCTGGTACGTAGCTCGGTGTCTGGCTGACAGAAACATGGGGCTCAGTTTGAACACTGTACCCAACAGACGATAAGCCTTGTAGCTGCTCAGGAGAGTAAGTCTGATTTTGACAAGTCTGCAGTCCTTGTCCTCCNGATACGGGCTATGTATGGTATACATGTGAGTGTATGTTATGAAAATGGAAATAAAAAATATTTAAAAAAGAAAAAAAGAAAAAAAAAAGAAATACAACACAGTCTAGTAGTTGGTAGAGCATCAATGAAAGTCCTGGAAAAGATAATCAAATGCAGCAGTGACTTATTAAAAAACAGAATTGGGCAAGTCGTGGAAGAAAAAGTTGGACCTTTAAAAAAAATGTGTAGGAAGAATATTGATGCTTTTGAGCTTTGGTGTTGGAAAAGACACCTGAGAATATTGTGGACAGCCAAGAAAGCAATCTGATGGAATCAACCCTGATTTCTCACTCAAATGACCAAATTCAAATTATTCTACTTCAGAAGAGCCAGCTTTCTGGAAAAAGCACTAATGCTGGGAAAGGTGGAATGAAAGAGAAGGATGGAATGAAAGAGAAGAAAAGAATGACCAGCACCAAGGTAGATGGACTCAGTTACAGTGGTGATGAGTGCATTATTGGGAGACTAAAAAACAACCACTTAGGGATAGATCATTGTGATGAAGATCTATATATGCAGTCATTAGGAGTTGAAAATAATTTGATGACATTTAATCAACCTATCAGTTGCTAAAATATGTTTAACAGTAAAAAAAAGACTCAATTTCCTCATCTCTCTAGTCCCTACTTTCAATCAAGTTTTCAGTCAAGATGAAGAATTGACACCCTTGCAATTATCTAGAGAAATGATTTACTGCAGAAAATAGGTGTGGGGTGAAGTTAATTGTTCTCTTAGGGGCTTTTGATATCATGGACCATATGATGGGATTGGGCCTCAGACAAGATTGTTTTCAATAGTTCCAGCCTTCCTTCTTAAGATAAGTTTGGAATAGTAATCAATACTTATATCAGAGTCTTGTGACAATGTTCCATTTCCTCTCCACAAACTGCTAGAAGAGACAATCTCTTTTTGGAATGAAACACTTTTAGAATGTTTTCTTGTTTCTCGGTACTCAAGCACCAGAAAAATAGTTGATTGCCTAAATTCAACTGGAGGCATGTGAAGCTAAACAAGATGGCATCAAACACAGTTATGTCTGGTTGGTGTCCATCTTGTGTGGAGCACTGCAAAAAGTTGACATTAATCACTCCTCAGTTATGAAATTCTCATCAATGCCCTATGGATTTACTGTTCACTTTTGCAATTTGTGAGTGTAAAGAAGATATGTAGGAGCACAACTTTTTTTTACGTTGAGCTCTCTAATGGAAAAGAGAGAAAAAAGTAATCAATGCAAATGAGTACGTTTATCAGAGCTTGGCCACCATCTTCATCTGCAACACTTACCTGCGGTTTGGATACATTCTTCTTGAGTTTGTTGAGTGTCTTGCGGTTGTANATGGCTTAATGTAGTAACCAGGTTTATACAACATAGGAAGATGATGGCTGAATTCCCATAACGTGCTGAATCACAAGCTACCTAATCCCATTTTAGCCTTGCCTAACATTCTGTGAAATTCACCCACTGCATGCCGAAGAGTTGATAAAGCATATTTCCTCATGTCATGTCATTATAAACATGATCCCTCATCCCCAAAGCTAATGTCTAGCTAGGACAATTATGATCAGGCCATATCTTAGTGACAAAGCACAACTTTTCAAGCAGAAGATTCTAAATTTAATTCTGTGCGATGTCCATTAAGCTAGGGAGGAGAGGATGCTGGCCTTGGAAGTCTGTAGCCAGTTTGATGGGGCTAGTTTAGTAATAGGCAATCAGGAGCCTTCCAGTTACTTTGGAGTACGAGTTCTATAAAACTTCTCATTGCTATACTGCCTGGGAATAAGAAAACCCAATCATAAAGTGGGAAACAGATTGCCCTTCCAAGCTAGATGGATCGAGAATCTGACTTAATGCCTGGGTTTGCCCAATACATTTAATTAAAGGCCCAGCAGATGAATTTGTACTCCATGCTAAGGTGAGCTTTAATCTTAGATTTTTAGCAAGTTATATGAACCCAATCTTATTTTCTGCTTTATTATTTATTTATTAAATTTGTACGCCACCCATCTCACTATCCAAATATTCAGTCCATTAAGCAAACTACCCAAATGGTTTAGTTCAATAATGTTGTGCGAGAGCACTCAGTATTTCATTAATTCATTCATTTGCTTATTTATGATGAACCTTGCTTCAATTACAGTATGGTATCCTGTAATTGATTTATAAAGCGATGTATAAAGCAACTTCACAGAAGTATCAAGAAAAAGACATCTGCGGTTCCTTCCGTGATGCTGACAGAACTCCAGAGACATTACCTGTTTGCCAGGATGGAGTGCGGAACTGGGACAGCAGGGAGGAAGCAGAAGGGCCCGGCTGTGGTGCCCGTGACTCTAGAGCTGAAATGAGGTTCATGACAGAGGCATCGGGGGTGGCACTGCTGGCATGATGGAGCCCAGTCTCGAATAAGCCAGAAAGACCTAAGAAGGAAATGAAAAAGAAGAAGAAATAAAGGATGTGAAGTGCTAAGAATCAGTGAAAAGGAGATGATAGATACAGCAAAAGAAAACAGGAAGAGGTTCATCACAGGGGACAGGCAAGGGAGCCCACAAGCTGACAAGCATTATGCCTGTCAGAGGAACTACAGAGAGACAAGACAAACATTAGACATCAAAAGGCACAGCAACTATAGAATACTTTTTTTAGTGCAGAAGGGAGGGTTGCAATCATTCAAAAGCCAGGAACATACAGACAGAAGGGGGGGGGGGATGAGAAACTATTGACCCAATAAACATCTGGTAAAGAAGAGAGAAGAGTCGGGCAAGCTGAATTGAAGAACGTATGAGGAACTGGGCGAAACTGGGGCTGTGTGACAGAAAAACCAAGCCTGGATCTTAGAGAAGCTGAGGAACTTAGAACCAAAGTTCTCTATCTGAGCAGTATGCATCTTTTCACATGGGGTACAGTTTTGGTTAATCAATACCAGCTGCCAGAGCAGTTTGAGTCTGAGCATTTCATTCAAAGATGTATCATTGGAAAGAAAATTAAACAGCAGAAAATAGAAATGCCAAAAAAAAGAAGAAAAAAAAAAGAAGAAGCCCCTAGGTGGAGACCAGAAAAATTAAAGCAAGAAAGAAAGAGTCAACCTTTCTTAATTTTCCCTATGCCACTGTTCTGGCTGACAGTCCAACCTATGTTTTGGTTAAGAAAAGATATGTTTAGCATATTTAAAATATTAACTTGATATCTTGGTAACACAGAGATTACCCTTGGAACAAAAGACGGATAGAGAAGGCAAAATAAATAAAGTGAAGCTGAAATGAAAGCAAAATAACATCACTATATCCAGATCTGTACAGAGGGAAAGAAAAGAAAAAGTGGGTAGGTGAGAGAAGGAAGAAAAGACATAGTTAAAAACATTTTATTGTTAAGGCTTCAAGGGAAATGGCAAGACAGCCACCATACCTGCTGGGTGATGGTTTGTGGCATAGCCCTGCAGAGGATGAGGAGTAGCATATGCTTGGCGGTGTAAAATATCTGTGTCTGGATGCGAGCTTCGGGATCCACCATACACCAAGCTGAATGAGAGAGAAACAAGGCTTCAGACATGGCAAGAGAGCTGGGACCTTGTAGACATTCAATATCTCAATGGAATACACTAAAAGTGTTCCTCCAAAGATCAGCAAAAGCAGGCTTGTTTTCCTGCAGACCTGTGAACTGAACCAAGGGGAACAAGGAGAGGCAATCATTCGGGAAGTATTGATTTTGAGCGCTAAGGAGCATCTAGTACTTGTATTCTTCTAAAGTCAGATTCTCTGTTCATCTATGTCCTCTTTACACCTTCAGCAATTGTAAGCTTAACTTCGTAAGTGTAACATGGGCCTATCAATGCATTTCATTTTCAAGATGAACAAAATCATGATTTTGACTAAGATAGCTGAAGAAGGTTATTATTGGGAAATCAGAAATGCATAAACGTATGGTGCAACTTTCTTTCCCTGTTTTTGATGCTCAGAGCAAAAACTTGTCCTGGACAGGCTTCTTTGCCTGCGTATGAGGAAAGAAGACTGGAATGTGTAATAAACAATGATGCATGATGGGAAATGTGGTTCCTGGGGCTTGGTTTTCTAATCCCTCGGTAATTGAGCTCTATCGTTTCTCCTCCTATTCCCCTTGTGCAGGAGACCCAGTTGCCTAACCCAGAAGCCAAACATATTGACAGAAGAACATCTTCAAGCTTACTCCGTTTCCAAGTCCCAGACACCCCCAAATTTTTATTGTCTTTAACTGCAATGCAATCAGCTCAGACCTGCTTTGATTTTTGAACATAACCTGCCATTCTATCAGTCAAATATTGCCCTGAATAAACTTCCCAAATATTTCCCCCCATTTTGTGTTATTAAAACAAAAGACCCAAAGTTAATTCCAAAATCAATTATGCAGCCCACTGATAGAAAATGGTACATCCAGAAGGTCTTGTATCCTTCTTCTTCTTACATTAAAATACAGATGTCTGCTTTTCAATTTGTAAGGGTTTCTAAGAGGTTTCGTGGCCTGATCCTGAAAACCCAGCACACCACTTATGGAAACACCTGTCCCAAAATGCATGGTACAAACTGTTAAGTCTACTCAAATATGTGCCCTGCTGAGTTCAGTACTCTCTCTGCATATGCAAATATATTATCCTACTCCAACCTGATGCCCCCTATTATGGGTTGAGAAGACAATTTCCAGAATTTCCAACTATACTTCATTTCTCAAGTTAGGGAAGGCTAGAACAGAGGACTGCAATGCAATCAGCTCAGACCTGCTTTGACTTTTGAACATTTGGATAGGATCTTTTTTAATAAACATGATCAGGTGATTTTATATGGGTTATTTCTTTAAAACAGAGATCATTTCCCCCAGCTCTTAAAAAGTATCTATATAGAAAATTTCAATTCTACACATCAGGCTATGCTCTTTTCTTCTAGACTCGCTTTGGGAGCTATCTGTGTATATAATTATATGCAGTGCCACCACTCCCATCCTTCCAGCACCAAACCAACCAGACACCGTTACTTATTCTATGACTGTGTGTTGAGGCATGTGCCACAATTATGCACGTGCCATGCAAGAAATGCAGGAAGAGCCCTGGGACAGAAGAAGCAGCATGGGGTGGTGCACCTCTCTGTAAAGAGGAACAGAGGCAGGCATGACTTGCAGATGACTTGCTAAAAGTAAGCGCGCCTGTCTCAGGAATGCAACTACCTGCAGGAAATTAGAAACGCAAAAATAAAAACCAAAAGCTTGCAGAGAGCAGAGAAAGTTGTAACAGCAGAATGAGAGTGCTGATGGAGGCCAACTGAATAAGCCGCTCCTTGAACACAGGTTGCTGCCTATGTCACTGTGGTGAGACAGTGGACTGCGTGCAGCAAACTGGAAAGGTACATTCTGCAAAGGCTTACAGTAAACAGGAAATAAAGATATATTTTCATTCATACAGTGAGATCTCAGTTCCTCCCTTGCTACAATGCACTGGATCAATATTGGAATGTAAAGCAGGAGGAGAAAGAATGGAGCAAGAGATGGTTGGAATATAAGGTATGGGCAGATCAGTCTTGGCATCTACTGGAAAACTTTATATTTCCCATTATTTCTCATGAGGAAAAACTTAAGTTAACAAAGAGACAAAGCAAGCACCTGAATGGTAGCAAAACAGCAAACAATACAGATGCTTGTTTCAATACCTGACATTGTATTACCAACTATTGTAGTGTATTCTGTATCCAGGGGTGTACTGAAGGAAAAACCAGGTTTTATTTCAATTTATAATACAATTGTATTATAATTTTAATATGTTAAATGGTTCTGCAATTGTTATATTTACTTTCACAGACATCTCTGATGAAATAGGTCACGATTGTTCCTGATCATAGAGTGGAGTGGAGGGGACCTCCATTTTTTAAAACCAGATTCACAACATTGTAACCCAAGCCTCTGAATTAAATCTCTTCCTGTTGTTCCATGGCTACAATTCCTGCCATCTTTTGCATATTTTATCCAGTACTAAATGTCCTCACTGGTTGGAGATGATGGGAGCTGTAATTCAACGCATCTGTAGTAAACCAAATTGGGGGGGGGGGGATTGCCCTAAGCCTTGGATCCTACACACAGAAAATAGATTCACATAAATAGTAAACTGCAGAGCTTTTTAACCAGAAAGTGGTTCACACATAATCTTAAACAATACATCATGGATTGCAAACCACAAAACTTATTATCATACAACACAAGTTACCATACTAAGTTAAATCCAAACAAATTACATTCTAGTTTAATTGTGAGATCAGGTTCTTCTCCTGCCCCACATGAACACAAGTACACTCTGAATTAACACCAGCTTTTAACTCTCAGTGTAACTTGGAGATGAAAATGACAGGCACAGCTTACTACCAAGGTGGCGAGGCCTATACATTTTAACACATCATAATAAACATATCTAAGTGCTATGTCCCCAAAAAACCATTACAGTATTCCAAACTAAGAAACTATTAATGCAATTGAGTCAGGGGTGGGTTGTTGCTGGCATTGCTGCCAGTTTGATGTGCAAATTTTTTTGCGTGCCTGAACTCACTTTGCTCGTACATTAGACATGCACTCCATGCGTGTGTGCATTTGCACCTAAAAAGGTCTGTGCATGTGCACAATGGTAGAAAAGGGAAAAATACATTTTTGCAATGAAGATTATTCTGCGCATGCGCAGAACCAAAAATCAAGATGGCGGCCCTGAGGATAGAACTGGGTCAAGGGCATGGCAGGCCTACTTGGCTGAACCGGTCCAAACCAGTAGGAACTCACCTCTGAATTGAGTGCCTCTTCCATGCTGACTCAAGAGCATATTAACATGGAAAAGGGAATAGAATAGTAACTGTTTAATCAGAATTACATATTCTAATCCTGCAATTTCTTTTTTTTTTAAATTAAAAAGTCACTTGAGAACAACCTTCTCTATCCCTTTTCTAGGGTGTCTTGGCCTAAAACAATGACATGGCTTCTTGCACTCTTGAAAAAAAATCTTTCTGTTATGCTTTCTTTCAACATATGAATGGTGACCACTGAGGGTTTAAAAGATGTGGGCATTCAAACAAAGAGTAGTTTTTGAAGGTATGCAATCAGTTCCCTGCGAAATTGTGCATCCACAAAAATTAGCATCAATATGCAAGTAATATAAAAGAAAGAAGTATTGCAACTTTCCCACAAGTTCTGAAAAAAATATAACAGAAGAAAGTAGGAATGGATGAAGAAAATACCATGGAAACATTCCAGGAGTCAGGGAAAATATTTTATGAGACTTATTCAAATAATTTTGATGCCATGAGGACTAGGAACAAATGCACAATCACTTCTGAGAGAAATATGCTTTCTGTATTCTGTTGGCTATGGAAAGTCATATTATTTCCCTTGATGCAACAGTCTGCATAAATGAATGCATCAAGTTCTAACAATTGCTAATAGAATAAAGCCTATGCCAAACTACACAGGATTCAAAGCACTACCAATAAGCAGATCACAGATGCAAGAAGCAGATGGAATAAGGATTGCAAGCTACCGAGCAATGGGTGAGTGCAGGAAAAAAAATGCATGCAGCATCGCAGAGTACAACTGCTGTACAAAGTATTATCTGGCACACAAGGCAGCCAACCAATGAGATTTCCAGCCTTTCAACATGCAAAGTTATAAGCCATTAATGCTTAGGTTTTAGTCCAGTTGCTTGAGCTGCCATGCAAACATGATAATTCATAGTGGATGCAAAGCACAGTAATGTAGGGGCCTTACTGATATGAAAACATGCATAAGTTCCTAATAAAATTCCAGCAGTTAATGACAATGACTTGGGAATCAAAGGCTGGGAAGCAGTTGGATGACTTGTCTAGCTGGCTGCCATTTCTCTTTATTTTTTTAAACAATTCACAGTATATAAAACATGCAAAAAGATGTGAATCTGTACTATTTATATTAGTTATTTTTGAGTCAATATTTGAGTAATCTGTGTTTGTTGTTTTTAAATGTACTAATTACAAAAATCCCAGCAACAGACCCACCAGTACAAGACCAACCAGATTAGATAGAATATATGACTCATTAGAACAAAGTAGCAGAAAGATCTAACTGTATGATGTATGCATAGTGACATCATAGTATACTATGATTTTTAAGGGAAGAAATATTTACTTTTCGGGATCCAACATATATATACATGCTGGTAAAGCATGCATGCCGACATCAATAACTTTATTTCCTAAGAATTTTCAGGAGATTTGGGAAGGAAAGCATGACTCTTAAAAAAAACTACAAGGCATGAATGAGAATGAGAAACAAGATAAACTGAGGAGGTCAAGTTAATTAAAAAAAAACACAAAATACTTTAATGATAGCCTTCTCAGCTTCTTCTCACACCAGTTTTCAAATTAAAATTACTAACAGCTGCTCCATTGTTAACTCTGATGCTTAAGTGCCTTCAGTACTCACACCAAAAAGCGGTGTTCATAAAGTAAAGGGGAGGGAAACATTACTCTTTTCTCTAAGGCTCTGGCTATTTAAATTAGTAAATTTTAGTGCATGGGGTGACACAAATGTTGTAGACAAGGGCTGTCAAACTCCTGGCCCATGGGCTGGATGCTGGCCACACCCGTGCCTGGTTTAGCCAGGGGGAAAAAGTCCCGATACATCACATGACGACTTGAGTTTGACACCCCTGTTGTAGATGAATGACACTTATTTCCAAGACTACCTAAAAAACATCCGTTGACCTAACCATAGAACCAACTTACCTTTTATTCAGAAATATAGAAAAAAAAGATCAGCCCTCAAAGCTCCCTGACCTAACTGCCAACTTTAGACTGATGAGGCCTTGCTGTATGGAAGCAGAAAAGGAGCAAAGACTTGTCAAAATATATATTATGCACATGGTCTGATGTACCTTTTTACATAAAATCTGCTATACAGTCAATAGAGGGCACTACATCCGACATACGTCTCTATTCTCAAAAGTAAGAAAGCCTTCTTGATTAAATTCAAGAAAATCACCCACTCCACCCCTTTTGAAGGGAGCCAGCAAAGAGAAGATTCACACAGAACTGCAAGCTAGATAATGGAAGTGTGTGCAGATCGTCCTTGACTTACAACAGTTCATTTAGTGATCGTTCAAAGTTACAACAGCACTGAAAAAAGTGATTTATGACCATTTTTCACAGTTATGACCATTGCAGCGTCCTCATGTTCACTTGATCAAAATTCAGAAGCTTGGCAACTGTGACATATTACAACAGTTGCTGTGTTCCAGGATCATGTGATCCCATTTTACAACCTTCTGACAAGCAAAATCAATGGGGAAGCCAGATTTCTTAACAACTGGGTTACTAATTTAACAGCTGCAATGATTCAATTAACAATTGTGGCAAGAAAAGTCGTAAAATGGGGCAGGACTCACTTAAAACCATCTCACAGCAACATAAATTTTGGGCTCAATTGCGGTGATAACCTGTTTTTTTAATACACACTAGCCCTCAAAGCCTCAAACTTTTTCTATCCCCTCCCTGAATTGCAAATACAGTTGTTCGAAACATTATGAATGAAGCTGAACTGATTGATGGATCACTTGGTCCCAGAAGCACACAAAAAACGGAGGAATATAATTTAAGGATTCCATTTGAGAAATTAAATGCTTAGAAACAGGAGGATTTTTCCTCCAGAGAAGAACTGTAGCAACCAGAGAGTTATAGACCAAAATTTGCTTTGTATATACAGATATTCTTATGCATATGGAAGATAGTTTTGCTCCAATTCTCATTTCAGATAGATGCACATTTTAAATTCATGTCCAATACAAAATTAGTGTGGTTGAATTCTGCTTGTAAGCCCAAGGTCTTTGTACTAGCTCATCTTGCTTGTTTTGACTGCAGCTTCAGTTCCCACAAAAACTAAGGGATCTGATCCTCAAAGCTCTGCAAACTAAGCCACTAGACCTCATTGTTTCTATCAGTGCAAGGTCTCAGTCTTCCTTTCATAAAATGCCAGGTTTCCTCCCAAAAAAGATTGTCATTATTTCAGATTTTCTTATCATGTCACCTTCCAGATACAGAGGAATCACATCTAGAATTCACAATTACTCATCTGTGGCTGAATGGCTAGCAGTTCTGAATGTTCTGATCTCAACACATCTGAAGGGGTCCATGTGATAAATGTTGCACTATGCATCCTACTGGTGCCACAAACTCATTTAAACGTGCATGTGCAAAGCCATCTGTGCAGTGCTAGCCTATCAATACTACTAGTCCTCTAGCCCTCTCACCCATCCCACAAATTATTAGCATCATATTGCTGCATACATGGATGCTAAAATAACAATACGAGGCATGGCAGAGGCCTGGTACCACAGTCAATATATCCCTGTGACTAGGCCACATTTAAATCAAAATTTGTTACTCCTTTCTCACCAAAAATATTTCAACACATCACAACATCAACACAATGCATGCAGCCTTAGGCGAAAGAATCAGTTTGTTTTACATTGTGCTTAGGATAGCTGTCCCTGACCTGGCACCCTCCAGATGTATTGGATGGCAACTATTATAATCTCCATTTGTGGTCCAAAACACCTGAAGGGAAGGCTGAACACCATAGCAGGGAAGACTGACCTAGAATAGAGAACAAGATATATTCATAATAATCTCTTTTCAAACATAAAATATAGATTCATATATGATAGTATCACTTAATTCCCTCACCTATAAGGTGAAGATGCAAATTAGAAATATGTTAAAATACTATAGATATTGCAAAAACAGATGAGTGTTGGACATTAATAAACATCCTCATGGAATTTTAAAATGTGATACTGAGGATTTAAGACTTAGCTTATTCAGAAAACGAACCAGAGTTAATAAGATTCCAAATTATTGGGTCATCTAGGATGGAAGCAAGGATGAACATATCAAAATAGAGATTCAGATATGGGTCCCTACTGAAGTAAATAGCTACTAAGTTAAGAAGTTGCTCTTTGGAAAATCTACAACAACAACAACAACAACAACAACAACAACAACAACAATTGTGTCTAGCAAACAAAAAAGTATGAAAAATTCATGTTTGGTCAAAAGAACTTGACCTCTCACATTTCTGTATGAATAGGGAGATCAGATTTGTATCTTGTGGAAACCTTAAAAAACATCTCATTTCTTATACATGGAAAGAAGATTCCAGCCACTAAAGTTCAGAATTTTACATCAAAGTCTCAATCTCTCCCTTGTTAAGTCTGTAGGATTTTGGGGACCAACTCTTACCTTCTGCATCTCTCCTCTGCAAAAGATGTCCTTACAGGCATAAATCATACAAACCACTGTGAACAAGTGTCCCAATTTCCAGGAAACATAAGGAGAGAGTTACAGGCCTGCAGCTGCTCATTTGTATATTACCTGATACACATACAAACAAGGAATGGGAATACCCCGAGTTCCCAAAGTCAACAATTACCTTTTCACATTTAGCAAGAAAGACTTTCCTGTCACCATCACCATCTACAAGAGCTGACTTATACTCAGCAGTTTGAAGACTCCTTACCATAAAAAATAAGCTATCCTTTCCTACCTCCATATATTGGGGGAAAGAGATGCATGTTGGAACAAACAGGAGGATACATATGGATAAAGCAGATGCCTTCCCATAGTTAGAGAGAGAGAGAGAGAGAGACAGAGAGAGAGATTTTCTCCAAATGTCCAATCTCCTTAGGTACAAGGAAAGAATATTACTTTTCCAAAATAATGCTCATTTCCCCACTCCCAGATTATTTTTCCTGCCCCAAACCATGAGGCCAAAGCTTATTGCTTTGTCTCATATAGAGATAGGCAATGTAATGCAATGTCCTTCATGCCCTACACAGAGCAGGAGAGGTGTCCTCCACGGGGCATCTCACTAATGAATGCCCCACTAGGGGTAGAAAACGAGAAACCACAAAGGCACCACACTGTGACTCTCACTCACCCTTCACCTGCAGGGAATCAAAGCACTTTCTCCCTGCAGGGCTTACCAGGTTGCTGTGCAGGAGGAGAACTGAGCATCAACCACCTTTTCTTCCTCCTCTGCCCTTTGTACACGCATTTCTGTCCCATATCGCTGCTGCCCTCGCTTCTATCAGCGCCCAAGGGGCTGCACACCTCAGTCGGGTCCCCCATCCCACCATAGCGCCCAGAGGATCCCGCACGGGCTGCCTCCTCTCCCACCCTTCTCCTCTGCAAAAGACGACCCTTCCAGTGCAGGGACGGCCCAAAGATTGCACCCCGGTGCCATGCCGCTGGCAAAGGAGCCGGGTCCCGCCGGCATTCCTTTCCCCGAAAGGTTGCCCGGGTTCTGCCCCCCACTCTCCCAGCTCAATCCCACTTCCAGGCCCAGAGAAGGAGGCCTGTGCAGAAGCTGCAAGGAGAGATGGTGCCCTGCTTGATCCCCGCCAAGACCGGTCTCTCCGGCATTGCCCGGGAAAAGGGGGGAAAGATATCCCTCTCCCTCCCTTCCACCACCCCCGGCGGCCTGACCTGGCCTTGGCCGAGCGCTCGTAGCTCCATCCCGGGCCGGCGCCCAGCGGATCCCCGAAGCCAGCGCTGGGGTAGTTCCTATCCATGGGGAGTGGGCGCCGGGGAGCGGACGCCTGGGGCCGACCGCCGTCCGTCGGTCGGTTCCTCGACTAGTCGGGGAGCTCCTGCTCCTCCCCCCGCGGCGTCGGTCGAGGGGGGGCGATCGGGGAGGAGATCGGGAAGGGGTGTCCCTCCTCCTCCTCCTCCTCCTCCCCCCCCTCGGCCGCTGCACTCTCCCACTCGGCCTCGGCTCAAGCCACGGGCTGGCGCTAGCGCTCGGGCGGCTGGAGGAGGAGGAGGCAGCGGCGGCAGTGGCGAGCCTCTGGGAGGCGGCTCATGGTGCAGCCATGTTCGCTGGGCGTCTGTCTGCGCTCCGCTCCGCTTCCTCCCACAATCCCGTGCTGGGGAGAGGAGGAGAGGGGGGAGCGAGTAAGCGATGGAGGGATGGTGGGCAAACGAAGGGACGACGGAAGGAAGGAAGAGGGGAAGGAGGAAGGGAGGAAGGAAGGAAAATACAGGGGAGAGAAAGATGCAGGAAATAGAGGAAGGAGAAGAAGGCAACCAAGGGAAGAGGAAGCCAAGGATAAATGGAAGGATGGAAGGACGGAAGGAGTGGGCAAGAAGAGGGGAAAAAGACAAAGGCGCGCGCGGAGAGGTAGGGCGGCAGGAATGAGAACAAGTCAACCCGGCAGGACGGGGGAAGAAGAGTAGCTTGGAGGGAAAAGGGAGAGAGAATTAGATGGGGAGAGGAAGAACAAGGTGGAAGAAATGGGAACAGAGGAATGGAGAAGGCAATGGAGAAAAGGCTACAGAAGCTGGTGGGAACTTTTGTTGAGCAGTGATGCGTGAGATTGTTCCTTCATTCACGTGTAAATGGGCGAACTAATACAGAGGTGGACAGATACGGTATTACTGAGAAACGTTGGCAGAATGTCTCTATTGTGGAAGCTATTTTGCGGTCCATAATGTGGAATAAACATGATTTTTTAAGGTTATTATGGAGCCTAGAAATATTGGCGAACCCATGATAACTAAAAAAGGGAATCTGTACTTTAACATTTAGAATAATACCCTTGCTGCAGAAGAGATGGTCGCATCCCCATCACCGAGTGGAAGCATTTGTTTTGGCATAACTTTACTTTTTACTTGTCCTCTCCCCAGGTGCTCAAAGGTATGGAAAAATGGTACACTGGCATTTGCTGAGTGCTTAGTTCACTACTCATGCATTTGTTCAGGAGGTAGCAGGTGATTTCATAGTCTAATATTTAGAAGGAAACATCACTATGGACAGCTTGAATTATATACACACACACTAAAATGCATCCTTTCTTTAGAAGATATTTTGTTATAATAATAATACTGTGTTTTCCTGAAAATAAGACAGAGTCTTATGTTCTTTTGATTCCTGAAATAAGCACTTGGCTTTATTTTCGGGGAGGTCTTATTATTTTTGAGGTGCAGGAGGCGGTGAGCGTGGTCACCTCATGGCTGCTGCTGTGTTGCAATATTTTCAGAGAGGACTTATTTTAGCATATATGCTCAAAAGCCTAATTTGGTTTATTATCCAGGGAGGTCTTATTTTCAGGGAAACAGGATAATAATAATAATAATAACAACAACAACAACAATACTCGAGCTGTTGAGCTACCAACCAGCCGCAAAGGTTGTGAATCTCACCAAATACTACTAACTACTACTACTACTACTACTACTACTACTACTACTACTAATAATAATAATAATAATAATAATAATAATAATAATAATAATAATAACAATAATAAGTCCTTCCCTAACCCTAAGCATTTAGGCTCAGCACAACCATAATATAAGCACAATATCCATTGCATTAATCCATTAATGCAATAATGGTTTATGGATTACAACCATCTAAATTTTATTTCCAAATTAACAAAATACACACTCACCCAGAAATATATTCAAGGTCCGTGAGGCAGACTAATCACTAAGTCATTCATTGCTCATGGCGCATTATGAGTGATAAGCCACAATTGCTAGAGTTGCACAATTCAACAAGCCACAAACAAAGTGTATTTAGGCTGCTTGTTAGTTGCAAAGTCATGTCTGACCCATCACGATCCCATGGACAACATTTCTGCAGGCCTTCCTATCCTCTACCATCCTCTGGAGTTCATTTAAGCTCACGCCTAGTGCTTCGGTGACTCCATCTAGCCACCTCATTCTCTCTCATCCCCTTCTTCTTTTGCCCTCAATCTTTCCCAGCATTAGGTTCTTCTCCAGTGAGTCCTTCCCTAACCCTAAGCATTTAGGCTCAGCACAGCCATAATATAAGCACAATATCCATGTCCTATGGCTTTTAATGCAATACTGGTTTATGGATTACAACCATATAAATTTTATTTCCAAATTAACAAAATCAGATCATGAGACTTAATATAGATTGAGCAAATTCCATGAATCCATCTCCTTTTGAAGGGGAGACCATTTTAAGGTCCAGGGATTAAAAAATCATGGGCTAGAGCTTCAGTCTAGAAGTGATTTAAAAGATTTTAACCTGAAATAAAACAAAGTTTACCTTTTAGCAGAGGCTTTAAATAGTTTGGCCCAGTAAAAAAAAAAAAGGCCAAACTATATATAACTGATTATTGTTTGAATCTAGGCCTCGGGTAAAAGTGCTTGAAGAATTAAGGCTCCAAGCCTTGTTAACTTGATACAGTGTTTGACAACCATCCAGCAAAAGGATGTTCTGGATCACTTATAATGTAACTACAAGAAGTGATTTCATCCATGCTTATTAGCATTTACACTAAATTATACAATTAATGTAGAAGCATCCACACCTCACACCTCATGGTCTATAGTATTTAGATTACTCTTTTGTGCTAGCTCAGATTGTGTGTATTTAGAGCCCCCTTCAGGCAGGAATTAGCATTGTACAATATCAATTCTTTTGATTGGCAAGCAATATGAAGATTCTAGATTGGCCACACTGTCTATAAATACAGATAGTCCTCACTTTACAACATTTAGTGACTATTCAAAGTTACAATGGCACAGTCACAGATGCTTGGCAACTGACTCATGATGGTTGCTGTGTCCTGGGGTCATGTGATCAACATTATGAAAAACAAAGTCAATGGGGAAGCATGATTCATTTAACAACCTTGCTACTAACTTAACAAATGCAGTGATTCATTTAACAGCTGTGACAAGAAAGGTTGCAAAATGGGGCAAAACTCACTTAACAAATGTTTTACTTAGCAATAGAAATTTTGGGCTCAGTTACAATCATAAATTGAGAGCTACCTGTACTCATTTAGAGGTGAGTTCACACCAGATCAGGGGTGGGTTCCTGCCGGTTCTAGCCTCTTCTGTAGAAGAGCTTCCACAAATCTACAGCGCCGTTTAGAACCGGTTCCAGTTCCCTCCCCCTGCCCATCTGCACATCATCAAGATGAAGAGCAAGAGGAGGAATTCTGGGAGTTGAAGTCCACAAGTCTTAAAGCTGTCAAGTTTGAACACCTCTGGGGTTGTTTTTTTTCTAAAGAGTTAGGGGTGCAAGGGCCTTGTAACTTGACAGCTTTAAGACTTGTGGACTTCAACTCCCAGAATTCCTCCTCTTGCTCTTCATCTTGATGATGTGCAGATGGGCAGGGGGAGGGAACTGGAACCGGTTCTAAACGGCGCTGTAGATTTGTGGAAGCTCTTCTACAGAA